CCTAAGCTGACTAAAAAGAAAATCGGAATCATTTTAGTCGAGGTTCGCATCATTTAGTCGTAGTGCTAGTCAAAGTTCGTTTTAAGCTCGAACTACGACTAAAGTTTGTTTTAAGAATACCGGGGTAACTCTAACCAAACAAGTTTTGGTGATGAAACATAAACTAAATATCAAAATATTTATTTTCAAAATGGACAGTTTTGATTCTATAGTTACTGTTACCATATTTTTTCTTCAAGTGTTCAATTGTTTGTTCTCCAATGGAAATGCACTCTAAAAAGGATGTTGATATTATTTCACATTTTGTACAGTGTAGCATTTAATAATATTCAAAATTTAAACAATTGTTTATATATTTGAATTCCTTCTTCAAAGTAAATTAATAAACTATGAAAGAATTTTGATATTAATTAATTTAATATGACAATAAAAGGACATTCCAAACATGCCATTGGACTCATTTATCAAGCCACATTTTGCTTTCTGTTGTGAATTTTTGCGTAGGATCAGTACTGACATTGAATAGATTTCTCGCCACATACTGTATCTAAAATTCTAAGCTGAACTGCTTGTCCTTGCATGCTCACCTTGGCCTCACAAGTACGGTATTGTGGTCACCTACTGTATATTCCATTCTGATAATTGATTTTGTTTTTTATTGTGGTTTTCCAAATCCAGATTAAATTGCATATTATTGCAATAAAAAAAAATATTACAATCCACTGTACATTATGTTTCATGCTATGAATGCAATGTATTTCAATGTATTTTTTTTATAGAATTCATTGTCGATCTCTTTTGTGTTTTTAAAAATGAAACGTTCACCAATCATGGTTTATATCATAGGTACATTATGAAGCGTTTGCCATAATTGCATGCCGAATGCTACTTGTAGCTCTATATTGAAACGAATGACTAACATAACCCACAGGAAAATCATCAACTTTGACCTTTTGAAAATGTTTTATACTTTGCTTAGATCCCAATACAGAATTATCTTTTGAATTACTAAATTAAAAGAGAATAATTGATTGTTTCTTTAAAACAATTTTTCATTGTTGGGCTTAATCACCCTTTAGCCAAATTTTCAACCCACAACTCGGAAGTATTCATTTAAAATTCTTCAATGTAGCATAATATAGAGATTAGAAATAACAAAAATATCATATTTATAATGATATTATACTCTGATACCAGTATTTATTCACCGAGGTATTCTTCCAGGCTTTATCTTGCACAAAAGGAACAAAATTTACTCATTTAATTAATGACAAAGAACATTTTTTTATCCAAATAAATAATAAGAAACTAAAAAAAAGTTGTTATATGTGCTAATTTCCAATGTCAAGGTTCATAACGGTAGGCCTAGGTGCTGTTGATTTAAAATCATGTAATATTGAGTTTTCAATAGCTCTATAAAATTAGATGATGATATTCTACATAGCCTTACCTAACAAAAAAAAGATAATAGAGAAATCATAAAAATATAGTATTAAATGCTTGAAGTACACTATGTAGATAGTTCTGAAAACTATTGTTGTTTTGTTGTTGTCGATTGAGTTGCTTCAATAAAAATATAAATGTGTTAAGGCTTAACATTAATAGATCCAATAATTTCTGATAGATTAATCATGCACCAAATTCTACATTTATGTTATCACAAATTTACTGAATGATGACATCAATTTACATGATTTTTTTTTCTCCAAACTTAATACCATTTCAGAATTAAGTGAGTAATGAGAGCTCCTTAGACCCAAAGCTCTCAACCCAATGTTTGACCATTGCATGGAGCCATACAGAATTTTGGTATAGATCAAGAAAAAAAAAACATTTCAGTGGGAAAAAAGTAATGATTTATTACTTTTTTGGATATTTCTTTTATACATGTGTCCATTTTTAATAGGCCATGAGACAATTGGATCTATTTTATGCTAATTTTAATAGGCCAGTTTACAGTAGGAGCATCTTATGCCATTTTACTGTACATACATGTAGTGTACCATGGTATTTTACTGTACTATTCTAAATGATTTAAAAAGATGTACAGTAATACAATTTTAGAGATTAGAAGAAATGTATCCATGATAAATCGCAGTTATCTCCATGTAATTACGGCACATCAGTAATCACGAGATGGATTAAGATGGTCTAAGATTATCTGAGAATGGTCGCTCTAATCATGAGGTATAAAATTAGAATACCTCAATGCTCGAATCCAGCATCCTATTAGTATTATTAGTAGATAGCTTGCAAAAGTAGATACTTAGTGGGTTAATGTACATTTGGGTTCAAATTTACACGTACAGTAATGGAATATGTTGGCTTTGAATAAAGAGTATGCAAAAAAAATCGTAAATTGTCAAACAAGTCATGGTGTTGTTCCTGTACTATAATTATAACCCACCCTAAAAACCAAACGAACGAATTGTTGCCAAGATTTTTAATCAGAAGTTTTTACGAGTCCCCACAATCTCTATCAAGCTGTAGAAACATGCTCCTGCTGGGAGCATAATTTTATATTAGGCCAGATAAAATTAATTGCTAGTTACACGTCCCCGTACTCATCAAATTTTGGAACCTCATGAAAAAATCTGTAGTACTGTTTGATATTTTTCAAAAAAACATTCATTTTTCCATGAACAATAAAAATAATGACTAGCTGAAAGAATGATGTCAAGCCTAAGGAGAGGTGGAAACATAATGGCAGAAATACATTACAAATATTCATTTTACTTCTTTTATAAAAAAAAAAAAAAAAACAATTTTTACTATTTACCAGCCTGTTTGTAGGATTGTAAATAGCAAATAGTAACTACCTCACCAAAAAATAATTTTCAAATCCCGGACGTGAAACAACAATTAATTTTATTTGGCCTTAATGTATGTGAAGCATTGCTTTCACTTAACTTGTTTGATATAGGAAGTTGATGTTTAACATTTGATGGTGGATATCTCACCAAGTACTGTACTTCACTGACTATATTTGGCCTATTGTGCATTTTTCCTGCTAAGTTCACTCACTGCTATTACATATACTGTACAGTTTTACTTTGGACATTAAATAAAACTGCCAGGCCCCTGATTGTTGGTTCTTACTTATTGTTTAATTCTTGTTATTTGTTTACTGTTCTTGTAAAGGGGAAAATGCTACTGTATGGGCAATTAATGCCTACCTTGTCAGAATATACTGCTGTGATGAGGTAATGTTCAATATTTTAATAGCTTTCTTAATTTATAAAATTTAAAAAAATAAATAAATAAAAATCCCTCACAGATAACCTACACTGTCTTTAGCACAGACCCTTTAAATTTACTTTTAATCAAAATTAATCCTTTTTGTGCTAAAAACAAATATGAAAATACTAAACTGTGATTAAAGTTAATAACTTAATCTTTTAAATTGTATTCTTTTCATTTAATTTTTAGATTTACCTCCCAACAAAAATAAGGTCTTTATGGTTTCCATAATTGACTAATGATTTAGTTGAATCTTCAACCACATGAAGCTTTACATTCAAATATCTACCTAGTACTAGAAATATAATTATAATGATAATTTAATTATTTCGAAAATTATTGTAGTTATATTAATATTTATTACTTTTTTATTATAATAAATAATAATGTAAATTATCATAATTTTTGTACTATTTTATAATATTTGATGACTGTATATTGATAATTTGATATTGCTATTATAATATTGATGGTTTTGGTAATAAATCTGCAAGATGATCAGTTCCATACTCATAATGATGGTCTCTGAAGGTATCTAATTATAGACACTTAAATGCACTATACAGTAATAATTAAAATTATAATCTCAATGTATTTGTATTCTAAGACAAAAAGAAAAAAATTATGAAAGAAAAATAAACATGTAAAAAAGGTTAAGGTATGGGAGTATTCAGTTTTAGGTTGATGTTGGTGTACGTCATAAAGGTGTGTTAATTGTGCTATAGTATTTTGAGCATAAATCCTCTACAATAACGCATCTCATCAGACATCGCCTCCGACTCATTCAACCAGCTCTTGCAGGGAGTGTCATTCGCTGACTGAAGCATTCTGTTATCAACGTGCAGAATAAATTATTGATTTCAGTATACCATAGTTATATTCATCTGGCATAATTGTAATAGGACTAGAGTGTCAGCCTGTAGGTGACATACATGTAAACAGTATGGCTTAGGTCGGAGTTAGCATGTATTTACTGGATTTGTTTGTATTGTGCATAGGAATGATTGTATCTGTTTCTTTTGTCGTGGCGGATATTTGGAATATTAGTTCTTAATACGAGTTCATAGGTGTGTGTCTTGGCGTTAGTGTGATTGAGAATTTGTTTTTGTTGTTTGTATATAATGAAGAATAACCTTTCTGGTACCAGTGCTGACAACAGTAGTTTTATTGTTATGAATCGTACAGAATGGTTTTAGTATGTCTTTTTTAAACAATTTTATATATCATACACTACATTATTTTGATAGCAGTGCTGACTTAAATAACAACAATGGTTTTGATAGTAATTTTTATTGTCGTGATGGAATAATAGACAATAACTGGACAATGGTTTTATTGTTTTGTATCATACAGAATGGTTTTTTTGTCTTTTTTAAGCAGGTTTATACATCATACACTACATTATACATGATATAATAAGTTAGTAGTGGACATGTTAGTGAGTATTTTTAGTTAATTACTCTGATTTTATTTTAATAGTGTAATCATTCTAATAACTTGTTTCTTGGAATGTCCAAAAATACTGCTGTTTTACTATTTTTAAGTTTATTGGATTGCAATTAAAATAGCTGTTCATGCCAACAGTACATTGACGGTTAGGTACCTGCTGTGTTTACTATCTAAAAGATAATTTCTTTTTAATAAACATTTTTGCTAAATAAAATGATATGACATGGAATAATGTCCTTACAGTAAGTCTGTAAATTTGTTGTTTTGACTAACATGCATTTTTCTTTTTTTCCCATCCATTCAATGGGAAGGCATGCCAGGTGTGGTATATTATATTTGTGGTTATTAAATATTTGATATTGATTTTTATACTTTTTTTTTCTTCCATGCATGTTTACAGTACATTACTTTTATTATAATTTGCATGTTTATTGTTAATATTTTTGAAAGTTAAATAATTTATTCAAAGTTGACAATATATATAATAAGGACATTATATTAACCTTAATTTATACCAGGTTCATGATTGATTTTGGGATTTGTATCACATAATTAGTAATGTTTGTATGAAGAAACACATTCTTTGGTGATACTGATAATGAATAAATGTATTTTCACTTGATGTAGATTAGATGATTGTTAAAGCACTTTGTCATAGGTCATATATCAATTTTCAATCAACATAATTTTTTTCAAACAGTGTGTATACTGTAACTCCTTTGTCAAATCTACCTAAGCAGTGTGCTCAGTTTAACTGAGCACACATTTTTGTGCTCAGTTTAACTGAGCACACATTGCCCAGCAGGTGGAATCCCAAGCAGAAAAGTCCACTACAAATAGCGTGACTAAAGTCGGGCACTCACTGAGCCCAACAGTAATGAGCCCGCGTGATTCTATAGAGAACGCAACGCAGCGACGCCTGCACAACGGATTGTTTTTAATGACGATCCGTTTAGACTGCCACCAACAGTCAGCAGACAGCGTTGCGTTGTCTTGCGCCCGTGGGGATTGGAGTTAGATTTGTCGTATGATGCAGTGAGTGTACAGCTTTAGTTATGTCTTCATGAACGCCTGCTAATATCGTACGTATCCCTGAACTTTAATCTGTCTACGCTTAGACTGACCATGAGCAAATCTCACTTCAGCAGAACCCCTATTAAGGAGACACCAAAAAAGTGTCCCCTTAATCCTCCGAATGAGAGTGTTCTGCTGTAATTTAAAACCTACTGTGTAAGTATTTAAATCCGAAGTGTGAACAGCGTTACAGTTCAACCAAGGTAGTACCCATTGTCTTAGTCAATGTTATTGTTAATTTAATGTGCAGTAAGTGGTGTATTAAGTGAATGGGTGTTCGCTCACAAAATAAGGTGATGAGGTGTTTTTTATCTACAAAGCATGATCGTTTTGCTTTAAACATTTTCAATGGGAGGGGGGGGGGGAAGAGGAGAGCGTGCATCCCCCTGTAACCCTAGATATGCCACTCTGTGTTTTTTAATATCAGGTGGTAATTTTTAGTACTGTATGTACAATAATGTTTTGTGGAGGTTTTTTTTTAAATCCATCATCACCTATCTTTATCCATTGTCATGGTCATCATCATTGGCTGCATCATCATCATCAATATTATTGATTAATTAGTCATCATTGTAATTTTTCTGAAGCCTGGTGCCCACTGCAAATTTCATGCACACTAATTGTGAGTAGTTGTCAAATGCAACGGCATTTGGTAAAACAGTATCAGTGTATGACATACAGTACAAGAACATAAACAGAATCTTTAACGCTGGTATTACATTTTTTGTACCTGTTTTTCTGGCACATCATTTTATAGTGCAACAAACACAAATTTCTTGGCCTTCAGTATAGTTTGGTCTATAATACATACAACTACAATGTGGTTTTATTCACATCAGAGAAAGAAACATTAGTTAAATTACAGCATTGTATAGTAAAACATACTGTAGCCTACGAGCTCAGTGGTTTACAGCTATTATGGGCGTGATTGATTGATAATATCAGCCAGATTTCAGTTGTAATCCTTTTGAATTGCATACACAAATTGTCTTTGAAAGCATGAGATTTATTTCATTTCCATAATTTTGAATAATGAGTAGGCCTCTGTCTCTTATACACATCTAGATGTGTATAAGAGACAGATACACTACATTATACATGATATAATAAGTTAGTAGTGGACATGTTAGTGAGTTTTAATGACGATCCGTTTAGACTGCCACCACCAGTCAGCAGACAGTGTTGCGTTATCTTGCGCCTGTGAGGATTGGAGTTAGATTCGTCGTATGACGCAGTGAGTGTACAGCTTTAGTTATGTCTTCATGAACGCCTGCTAATATCGAATGTATCCCTGAATTTTAATCTGTCTACGCTTAGACTGACCATGAGCAAATCTCACTTCAGCAGAACCCCTGTTAAGGAGACACAAAAAAGTGTCCCCTTAATCCTCCGAATGAGAGTGTTCTGCCTGCGTATTTTAAAACCTACTGTGTACTGTATTTAAATCCGAAGTGTGAACAGCGTTACAGTTCAACCAAGGTAGTACCCCTTGTCTTGGTCAATGTTATTGTTAATTTAATGTGCAATAAGTGGCGTATTAAGTGTTCGCTCACAAAATAAGGTGATGAGGTGTTTTTTATCTACAAAGCATGATCGTTTGTTTTGCTTTTTAAAACATTTTCAATGGGGGGAGGGGGGAAGAGGAGAGCGTGCATCCCCCTGTAACCCTAGATATGCCACTCTGTGTTTTTTAATATCAGGTGGTAATTTTTAGTACTGTATGTACAATAATGTTTTGTGGAGGTTTTTTTTTAAATCCATCATCACCTATCTTTATCCATTGTCATGGTCATCATCATTGGCTGCATCATCATCATCAATATTATTGATTAATTAGTCATCATTGTAATTTTTCTGAAGCCTGGTGCCCACTGCAAATTTCATGCACACTAATTGTGAGTAGTTGTCAAATGCAACGGCATTTGGTAAAACAGTATCAGTGTATGACATACAGTACAAGAACATAAACAGAATCTTTAACGCTGGTATTACATTTTTTGTACCTGTTTTTCTGGCACATCATTTTATAGTGCAACAAACACAAATTTCTTGGCCTTCAGTATACTTTGATCTATAATACTTACAACTACAATGTGGTTTTATTCACATCAGAGAAAGAAACATAATAGTTAAATTACAGCATTGTGTAGTAAAACATACTGTAGCCTACGAGCTCAGTGGTTTGCAGCTATTATGGGCATGATTGATTGATAATATCAGCCAGATTTCAGTTGTAATCCTTTTGAATTGCATACACAAATTGTCTTTGAAAGCATGAGATTTATTTCATTTCCATATTTGAATAATGAGTAGGCCTAGTATAATTTAGGTGGCTGGCTCAAACCCTATCACTAATTTGAGAATTTCTAGACATTAATATGAGTGTACTAATTAATTTTTAAAATTTGTGATAATTTTTAAATAGATTAAATTGAATATCAAAAACCAAAATAATATATTTAATTTTAATTTTGTGTCTTTTTCTAGGCTTGGATTGCTGTTGGTAATACTACAATATTTAATTCAATTTTTAAAGGATGCAGTAACAAAAAACATTTTAAAATGTGCATAATATAAAACCAAATCTGAAATTTGATTACACAAATTAAAGCATGTAGTACATACCAAATTTGTGCGTAAAACATGGATAATATTAAGCGAGTGCATGTTTTTCTTGTTTTAGATGTGTGTGAAAGACATGAATAGTCCAATACAGCTTCATTAAAATAGAAAATTCGGTCTTTTAATAATAATTTATAATTATTATAAAAGACTGAAGAAAGTAAACATCAAATTCTGCACTTTGATATCTAGCGATATGAAAGACTTGCATTGTGATTTTATAGAAACGTTTGATTGGTTTACAGTTGTAGACCTTGTGTATTGGCGTGACCCCAAGAAGAGCGGCGTTGCTTTCGCATCAATCCTGATTGTCCTGCTTGCCTTTGCTAACTTCTCATCTATCAGTGTGGTAGCTTACCTTCTGCTCTCCATCTTGACGGTGACCATCAGTTTCCGAGTGTATAAGAGTGTGCTACAAGCTGTACAGAAGACCGGTGATGGAAACCCATTCAAGTGAGTACATGCAGCCGAGTCAATTTACCTTTAGGGCGTTGACTGATAAACACAAAATAATCAAATTTTTTAAGCCGCTTTTAATGAGTGCCCAGACAGTTTGTACCCGTTGCAACTGAATTTTTGCTTTTATGAAATCGGTTTTCGCGGCGGAAATTACGTCATCTTTTGTTTATACAACACGTTTATTTTCCAAACTTGATAGTTTCTTTCTCACCAACTATTCTGGTCATGATGACGAGGAGGATACGGTGTGCGGCAAGAAGGCGAATGCTTCTGGCGGAGAGGCCTATGCCCAATATCCCCCGACAAAATTACAAAACAAGTAATTTCATCACTCCACATACATGTTTGTTGACGTTTTAGCTTCTAGGCCTCAGACATGAACAAAATCGCACGTGATAGATATGAGCCAGCTTTGCAGTAGTTTGACATACCTGGAGGTCACATTTCACCTGATGATAATCGCTTTTTGTGTTGCAGCTAAAAAGTGCACAACCAAAATCAGTTATTTGCCATTCAAACACGCTATCCGTTGCGTGTTTTGAACTGGTCCCGTTTCTACTGCGAGAAAGAAAGCAATTTTTTTATCAATTTTTTCCTCCCAGTAGAAACAGGCCCTTAGTCTTTCATCCCTATTGAATTAAATTATATAATGAAAATTATTCAAGGTAGCCATAACGAGCAATGTAATTTCCATGTATGTGGATCAAATAAAGACTGTCTATGATATTTTCCTTCAATGTTCCTATTTACCCACAGCATCTTAATGTCCATGTCTCTTATATCATTTTCAGGCCGTACTTGGAAAGCGACATAACACTCTGTAAAGATGATGTTTCAAATTATGCTGGCCAAGCTGTTGACAAGATAAACTGCTATGCTGATTCTCTTAGAAGGCTTATTCTGGTGGAGGATTTAGTCGAATCCATCAAGGTAGTATTATTTGTTTTATTCCAGAGTGGATGCTTGTTTTGTTCCAATTCTGAAATTGTGAATTTTCTATTTCTCTGGCCTAACCCTACAATATGGACAGACGACAGTGGCTGGTACCGAGACCCTTAGTAGGGGAGAAGAAAGTTACTTGAGCGACTAGTCCAGGCTTTGTACGCTCTGATCTTCATGAAATAGTGCAATATAAATGCTGTGATGTATGTAATGTATACTCCACCCTTGTAAAAGTGTGATCGGATTTGTCATCTTGAATTACATACTGCATCTACAGTTAGGTGACCAATGTAAATATTTTTTAGAAAGTGGTCTCTTCGCCTTTGTGGCATCTACATTACATTTCTTCTTTTAGTGCTTGTTTGGGGACACTATTCAAATGGTATTAAACTGGTGGTAGAAGTTCTTTGTATTAATTGAAAATTCAATACAAAGGAAGACCAATGTCATTCTGATAGTGCTGTGTTATTAATTAGTTAATTTTAAACAGTACAGTGCATATGAATATAACAAATTTTTGTTTTGTCTTATTTGTTCCAGTTTGCTGTTTTCTTGTGGTTCTTGACTTACATTGGATGTATGTTCAATGGGTTGACTCTCGTCATCCTTGGTGAGTTTTAACTCGTTTTGACACATTAACTGTCATGTACAAATATACCGTACTCAGGTTTAATAGGGTGAGGGCACCACTAAAGTTACACTTGTATGGACAGCATTTAAGCCTTTTCGATTGTGTGCTGTTCACCCAATCGGCTGGTAATTCGAGCTAAAAATTCTAAATTGCAGTATGAATATGTTCCTTCTTAATGTTTGCCTTAAGATATGTTGTATCTGGATTGAATGAGTGAAGGAATTATAAATATTTTCCATTGCTTGCATTCTAACAATTTTAAAAACTGAAACTGAGTTGCTGGCTTTGTGTATGAGGCTTGCCATCCAAAAACCAGCATGCTGTCACTAAATGTTAAACTGAGTGATTAGCATAAAATGTGGCAGTATCGTGTACTTTAGTACAGAAAAGCTGTAATACATTTACTCATAACTTTGGCAGTAGTAAATCAATTCCAGAAAATGACCTGTCAGTATAAAGCTCATAGTGTGGAAAATATGAATATTAAAATATGAATATTAAAATATGAATATTAAAATATGAATATTAAAATAAGAATATTAAAATAAGAATATTAAAATATGAATATTAAAATATGAATATTAAAATATGAATATTAAAATAGCAATTTTCTTGTTTTATTCACTGATGCTGGTGGTTTTCGGCATGGCAAGCCCCATATTTCAGAGTTAATATTAGATTTCAACAATTAATGACATTTAGTTATTTTGTAGCCTTTGGATATATCCCAAAATTACTGCCAGTAAGCTTAAAGATTTTGTAGTCAAATTTCAGTAAATCATTGAAAATTTTTTCTTTTTTTTTTGACTTACTAAAAATTAATAATATTATGTATTTTTCTTAAAAAATGAGCAATTTATTATAATTCTTGTCTTTCTTCAATAATTAATTTATTGATGAAAATATTGTGTATGCATATAGATGAAATTATTGTGTACATGTCGTACATAATAAGCCTACTCTTAGAACTGTGCTTGTCCATATTCAAGGTCGATTGACAAACCATGTTGTGTATGGTTATTTATGTCGACTGACCTTGATACAGGCATGTGAAGTTCCAATTACAAATTGGCTTATTCCATGTAAAGTTTAGTGTGTCAAAAACCTGTGACATGCCCATGTGTGGTATGACATCATCATGCCATATAAGGGCAAATCTTGATATTTGTCACACAAAAATTTTGCATAATTTTCAAGTTGACAATAGCCCATAATATTGGCTCTTAACAGTAAAATCTAAAAAAAACTTCTTTGTTTCTCTTTATTTGCAGCTCATATTGCTTTGTTCAGCCTTCCTCTTGTGTATGAGATGAATAAGGTAAGTTACAACCAGGCCAATGCAACATATATGACAAGCATAGGTTTAGCCAGCGAGCCGTCCGGCCGTCTTTTGGACGGCCAACAATTATTTAGGACGGCCACTTTTACGATGATGGCTTGGACGGCTTGGCCTAATCAGCTCGGCCTAGCCTAATTGGGCCTGGTCTACCTTTCAAATTCTTTATATTCTTCAAATCTATCGAATGTTACATTAAACTATAAGCTAAATCATATTTATATTTGATAAAAACAACTTTTATTGATTGAATGTACGTTGTTTTCATACCAATATTCGTTGGGAATTCCCAAATTCCAACATTTAAACACCTTTAAAATACCCTCTAAAGATCATAAATTTCTTTGTTTTTTTCTTACGTTTGGGAGGGGTGTGGCCTGCCCATCGGCTCAGGGCCACGCCTACTGTCTTTTATTTTGGATGGCCAATTTTGTTTTTCTGGCTAAACCCCTGAAGACAAGCAACACTGAAAATTCTGCTGTATGACCAGATCCAGCGAGGTTGCTAACTTTCCATAATGTAAAAAATTTGCCACCCAAATTTGATATTAATCTTTTGTTTGTTAATGACTACTAATGATTGTCCTTTAGTCATTGAGAGTATAATAACACAAATTTTTTCAAATATTTTCTCAAGAAACATTAGGCTAGTTCTACATAAAATTGGCAAGGCCTGCCCATAGCACCGCTTTTGGAATTTCTCAAGATTGTAGTGGAATACATTCCATTGATTGAGCTAGGAAAACTTAAATTATTATAAATATTGAAACTCAAATTCTTAGTAGTCAGAAGTCCTGGTGGTCTTTGGTAGTGTTTTCCCATTGTTTAAGCTCTATCTATTTTATCAAACTTTATGTGAGAAAAAAAAATGATATGCCCATATTTGGGTGTAATATGACATCATGATGCCCATATATGTGCACATCACACAAATTTGTCACATAAAATATGATAGTATGGAAAGAGCTTAGGAATGCTATGTTGTTTATGGCACATAAAATAATAATTTTAATGTTTAAAAAAAAATTTTTTTTCTTTAATTTAGGCTCAGATTGATGATGTTTTAGGAAAAGCCTATGCCAAAGTCAATGCTTTCCATGAGCAGTAAGTAACTATACTACATTATTACAGCTACATGTTTCCTCTATGCTGATCATAATGATCATGATCATGCTGAAAATATAGGTAGAGATGTAATTTGTATTGTATGTAAAACTAAATGAAAAGATGTAAAAATAATCTTGGTCTTTTATAATTGTTATTGTTCATGACGTCATATTTTCCAGATAGATACGTTTCCACATCTTCTCCATAACCATTACCCACACTCCATTTTCTATAAGATTTTCCATCTGACAATTATTGATCAGTAATTTTATTATTGTAGCTGCATTATTCTTTTGATCCTTTGCATTGTTGCAGTAGTCTTACATAAATATTCATTTTTGATTGATAAATCGATATTTTGAAAAATTTAACTATTCATTCAATTAGCACATTAAATGGGAAAACTTAATAAATCTAATTTGATACCTTCTTTATTGAAGAAATGTAAGGGTAAGATAGTTTATTGTTATTTGTTGTATACATTTTTTTTCCAACTTTAATGTGTAATGATCTTTTATAGGTTGAAAGAAAAAGTTCCATTCTTAAAAAAGAAGAAAACTGAATAAGCAGACTGCTTTCATCGAATTGAAGAAAAATACACTGATTTTGGAACTTTGCAATTACTCTACCACAAGTCACTTCTTACAAAGCTTGCTACCAAATACAGAAATGTTGATAGAGAAATAACCAATGCTTGCATAGCCATAACTTTTTTCTGGAAAACTGTAGAGGGCAACATTTTGATTACGTGTTTCTGAAACTGAGGTTTATGGCATTTATGGAACTATCATGTCATTAGGCAATGTTAGTGTCAAAGGGTTCAGAATGGATTGGCATTATTTTAATATATTGCATAATGTGTCATGACTTAACAACATCCTTACAAAGAAGGGTCATTGAGAGCACTGTTGATACCCTCTGTAGTGGTTACAGTTTTTCTTGTACAGTATAATCATATTTTCAAGCATTGCCACCAGTTATTAATGATACTTGTTGGGATATTATTTCCTCTTATTTTATGGTTATAATCTTTTCAATGTACTTAATCATATGTATTTTAATTCTGTTATTGAGTTATTTAAATCTCAACAATGAATTTTAACAAATACAAACCTTTAAAAATGATACACAATAATCTTACCTGATAAATGATGTGCATCTTTATCATATTGTAATTGTCAGCTATGGTTGTGTGTCAATATCGCTGAAACAGCTGTAGCAATTGTATCGTATTCTAAAATCAACGTAAGATATGTCGAGTACATTAAAAGATACCGCTCAAAATCCTGATTGATAAATATCAATATTAAGCCTTATATTCTTAGTACTCCTAAGTAATCATATTTAATTTATAGATATTTTGTTTACCTGATAACCTCTGAACAACTTTTAAAAAGAAAGCTTGCCCAATGCGTGTGAAATTTGGTAGAATTTTAACACATTAGATTATATCCAAATTTTTAAAACATTACTGTAAATCAATACTGTAAATCAACATAGTTATTTATTGTTAGCACCTATCTCTACTCAATAAAGTACTGCACTTCTTAGTATTAATGCAAATATGTTTGAATTACTTTTTCGCATGAAAAGATGTTTGCAAACTAAGAGCTCACTACACACAAGCAGAATAAGCTGTTAAGCTGTGTTCACACACAGGGTTATCAACTGAGCTAGATTTGCTTTTGTGTAACTGGCTTTGTTGTCCACACTTCAGCGAGGTGGCCATGCAGTATTCTTTGATGAAACCTTCAAAGTAATCACTATAAGCTTTGTATTCGAAGACAATCAACCAAGTCTGTATGTATGTCATTGCAGTTTTTTAATGCAATATTTTTTGACCCAACTGAAAAATAAATGTAGTTTCTAATTGTCGAGTATGATGTGGTTAACAATGTTGTGAAATATACATATACCAAGTATATTATAGATACCTGTTAATGTTAAATAGTACACTGGTGGATGTTGTCTCAAAGTAATGCATGTAATTTATCTCGGTAGTAGTCTTAGTGATAGTAAGAAGTAAAATATTCAGGAAAAGTATGGATCTATTTGGTATGGTTTTGAATTGTATGGATTTTAACAAATTGCAGGTTTGGAAATGTATACAGATATTGGGTATTGCTCTGAGGCATGATTTGTGAATTGAAAACATCTTGCTGTAGCGTTCCAACAACAAAATCCTAATTCAACATTTAGACACTGGATGCTGTAATACAAGGCTACATTTTGGTTTCTAAACAGGGGTTGATCCAATGGGAGAGATGGAGAACGTGCCACTCCCCTCCCCCAGCTCCCATTTTGCCACTACATTTTAAAATTTTAATACCTATTTCTGCCATGTATTGAAATATGAAAACAAAATAGAATAAAAATACAAAATGTTTGTAAAGGACCCCTTCGTTATGCCACTGTTGCTAGCAATCTACACTACTTCTCATAATTTGGTAGTTCCTCCCACTCCCCCTCCCCCTGTTTAAAAGTTTCAGGATCTGCCCTTTCTGAACTTCAATTTTTGGAGTATTTGAAGAATTTGCAGTAGCCAATCAGCTCCAAATAGTATAGTGAGTATGTTTACCAACAATACTCGCCAACAATGTTGAATGTTCTTGAGTGATTCATTATTACACACTTTTCAAGTAGTTTCCAAGTATTCCCGAATGTTTAATCAACACAACCTAATGTTTTGAACTTCATGTTTGATTATTATTCTTTATTTTCAACTCACTTTAACTGTTTAAATAAGAATTTGCTGTAAATGTACATATATGGAAATTAAAGTGTGCTAATATTCATAAGAACACATAGCGACTGTAAAAAGGAAGGTTTCCAGTAATGGTTAGGTAGTGAAAAGAATAAAAATGAAGAATAGAGTCAAATTATTTTTCCATTATTGCTTAATGTTGTTCAACATGGATTATACCTATTTTCCAAAGAATGTATACTTTTTTTTCCATTTTTTATTTTGGAAAAACAGATCAACTTTGGTATTGTACTAGAAACATATGTCATATAATTTTATGAAAAGTTTGCAATTGGTCTTTCTACTTAAGTTCAAGTATTAAGATCATATTTGTATTGTTTCGTAATGATTTGTTTTTCAATGCTTAACTTATTATTGTGGCAATGTTATTTGATATGAAAAGTAAATATGTGTCAAAAAGCTTATGCTTTTTGACAGCAGTCTGTAAAATTAACATGTTTGCTGTTAAAACAAACTGAACAAATATTGCTGCCATATTAGATTGTATTTATCAGATACTTAAGTATATTGTGACTATATTGCTGAAGAAAACCAATTACATACTGTGGAAAGTGAAGGAAAATTAACATAAGCGATTGTGTAATGTGTACAGTTATTGAAGAACACACAAATTAATTGATACTGGGATTTATAACCAAGGTATTACAGGGCAAACATATGTTTCTCACAAATATGAAATATTGACTTAGCTTTGCTTGTGCTCTTGTTGTTCAGTCAGTACTGGAATAAGTTGTTGCTGTTAAAATGCATATTATAGAGTTTGAAGAAATGTCTTGGTATAATTAACAGTGAATAAATAAAAAGAGTGATTGTTGGATTCAAATTCTTTTCAAAATACAGTAACATATTTTATGATAACGAGTCCTCAGATTAGAAATTACATTCAAATTGCAAATGTTGATCAACTGATGCTTACTGCATGATACTCATGTTGCCAAACCGGACTGCAATACTCCATAGACCTCCGGTCCACACCTTTTTGTCCAAAACTCAATTAAATGTCAAGGACTCGGGCGCACGTTTTTCTACAAACATTTAAAAATTTGCTGCCAGAAATAATGGGTTATTAGGATACATAGACACATTTAATTGACGTTATAACTTCCATCTGAAAGTCAAACACTGAAATAAACAAAATTAAAACTTCCATACTCCAGATTCCAGTTGACATTTGTATTCCAATATCACTTATCTCCTTCCTCATACCCTCATAATCTCCTTGATAATACAGTAGTTGATAAAATTGGTATCCCCACTTTGAACCTTAACATTTAATATAACATTAAATAATATGACCATGTGATCATTTTTCCGACTGGCAGGTTAATACTGAGGGTTTCAAACACATCCTCGTCATTAGAAATACAATGTCAAGTAAATATGTTCTTGCCCAGTGCGAAAACGAGTACGACTGACATAATAAATGATTCCAAAATTAGATCTCCAGCGATGATTGAATAATCATATTTCAAGGAATCGACGTTTATGAGTCACTTTCTCATTTAATTTAATATCATCAGTACTTTTCGTACACGCAGCACTTTTTTTTAAAAACCAAACTGAGTCTGTACCTTACAGATTCCTCAAAGTGTCCCATTTCCAAATATGCAACTGAAAAATAACTGTCGACATAAATTCCAACATCTCTTCTTTGCTGTTCATGTAAAAACAACTAAAATCCATTGATCATTTCTATCCTGTCAGGTAATGTTATCCAATTTTTTCATTTTCGCATTTATTTTCTTTAAACTATCTAATTTCCATCATAACATTTTCATCTTTATTTCCTTTTTTTTTTCGTCGAAGTGAAGCCTATCAATAATTGACCTAAAACCTCCTTTCATCTTCAAACGTAATGGAACTATCTAAGTATGTTCCTCTACAGTTCATTGAAAATTATTGTACAAATAGGTCAGTTATTGGACCTCTTTTTTCAGTCAATTAAACTAAAATTATCAATTTATGTCATCATTACAAGATCGTATGCCAGAAAGCCTATTAAGGAAACAAATTTAAATAGGGGTATCACTTCTCAGGAAGGTGCTCTCGAATGTGCCTGGGATACGGTATAATTTATTAAAATTATAGTTGTTTGTCGCCCTCTGATGGTGCGAAAGTTCCATTTTTTGTTTGTGAATGCCGTTGCTTCTCTCAGTATAAAGTGGCAAAGCAATTAAATATAGGGTAGGGTTGCTTTTTTTTATAAGTAAGTAATTCATTTTTTAGGAGATGGGTGGTGATTTTCATATTTTCAGTATTACATAACAAAGCTTTTACTCACTGATGGTAAACAATGGCTTCATTATCGTTGACCTTTGCGATTCTTCCAATGAGGGGGGGTGGGGAAAAACTCGGATATATAATTTATCATGTGAATTTTAGGAAGATTTTAAAGTTTTATTATAAGATTTTCGTTTTGGTTTTACGTATAGATTTTAGTAAGTAATGGTAAACAATGGCTTCATTATCGGAACATATTGATTAGAAAACAATAGTCTAATTTGCACATCTGATATCAAAAAACGTGGTGATACAGAATTATTGTCATTTTTATAATTTAAAGGATATACGCTATGCCATAAAACTATCTTTGATTTTCACCTACGAAAATTATATAATTATATTAAAATTATACTAATGAAAATTCAAAAAAGCAAAAACTGAAGAAAACAATTGAAATGACACCTGTATGCCGCAGTATTTCTAATATTATAGTAAAGGATATTGTCGGTAGTAGAGCATACTTACCTGGCACAGGAGTGACTTTGATCAAGAAGGAATGTCCTCTCAAGGTGAGGCCTCGGCATTGCACTTCGCTGAGGTTGACCCTTGCGATTCTCCCAAATGTGGAGAACTCGGGTGTATAATTTATGGTAGCGGGGGACTGCGTTCGCGCTAACCCCCAACATCAATTTAAAGACAGACTGAATACTATTTATTTTTTCGCTTAATTTAGAAGTATTTAATACATGATTTTTACCGTATAATATTGTTATTACTTATTATGTTGTTAAAATGATATACTGTAGCTAATTAATATACTATTATTAATATATATTATTAATTAATTATATACTGGTAGCTAATAACCGAAAGGTCCACTGATTAATCTCAGATAAGATAGTATAATACATACTCAAAGTATCGAAATGCACGCCATCGTGTCGTTATTCAATATTTCGACATTAATTATGTCATCATCAGGAATGAAAAATTATCCATATTTGCAGGCTTATATGCACAAGTACCAAAAGTGTTTGACCAATCACACCATTACCTCTAGTAGGTGACATAGTTATGAATTAACTAAAGATCAAAGCATTCTTACCCTACTGATCAAAGCTACCTACAAAAACAAAGAAAGCTCATTTGAAGCTTTCAGCCCATTGTTAAGCAATGGGTGTAGCCTACGTATAGCAAACGCTTCTTTAAACAATAGTATATTGCATATCTGTTATCAAAAAACCTGGTAATACAGAATTATTGTCATTTTTATAATTTAAAGGATATACGCTATGCCATAAAACTATCTTTGATTTTCACCTACGAAAATTATATATTATATTAAAATTATATTAATGAAAATTCAAAAAAGCAAGAACTAAAGAAAACAATTGAAATGACACCTGTATGCCGCAGTATTTCTAATATTATAGTAAAGGATATTGCCGGTGGTGAAGCATACTTACCTGGCACAGGATTGGCTTTGATCAAGAAGGAATGTCTTGCCAAGGTGAGGCCTCCCAAATGTGGTTAACACGGGTGTATAATTTATGGCCGCGGGGTGTGCTTTCACGCTACCTCCCCCCCCTCCCCTTACAAAAAAAAAAGTGTTAAAGATAGACTGGATTCAATATTATGTTCATTACTATCAATCGCCCCATAATTCCACTGTAATTAAAATGTAATTCTACTGGAGTAAAACATTAGTAGAAAGTGTTGGGAATGATGTTTTCATTAGATCTGTTTACAGTCAAGGGGGAGTTCATTCGAGGAAAAAATACATGCGCCACGGGGTGTTTTCGAAAGAGGCGTTTATTCCAAATGAGGCTCTAAAGGGGGCGTTTATTCAAACCGGAGCGTTTACACGGGTACAAATAGGGGATGTAAATATGGCTCCTCCCTGATCCACCCATGTTTTCAGAAGCACAATAGGCTGTACTTTTGTACGATGGTGACGGCAAATGATTCGGCAAACTGGGTTTCGGCAAACTGGGTTGTCATGATTTTGGTGAACTGGGTTTCGGCAAACTGGGTTGTCATGATTTCGGTGAACTGGATTCGGCAAACTGGGTTTTGACAAACTGGGTTGTCATGATTTCGGTGAACTGGATTCGGCAAACTGGGTTTCGGAAAGAGGCCATTAATTCTAAATTAAGTTAATTCAAAAACTGGATTTTAACAAACTGGTCGGATACCGTTTCGGCACCAGTGCTATACCAATTCGAGGTTCGACGCTAATAAGGGGTGAGCGCTTAACTACTAATTTGTAGGTTTAGCTGCTGGTAGGGCACTACTGTCCTTGACAGCAATTTTCCTTCAGATACCTGGTTGGTTGTGCACCTGTCTCATACTATCCAAATTACGGTTGAAGCAAGCGTGTATGTGAACTACCGGAACTGTGTCGAAGACACGTCGTCGCAATAACATCTCCTAAAATATTGAATTTTGGAATGGTGTTTCTTCTAAGTAAGAATATGTAAGTAGAGATTGTACCATACTGTAGTTGTACAAGCCTGTATGCCTTCATAGTGTTAGATTTAATTGCGGTATCCATTTTTGTGTTGTTGTTCAGGCCTACGTTTTCGGACTGGAGACTGTGCTCTAAAATAGTTTTAAGTCATTTTCATACAATGTCATTAAACCTGAATATCTGAGTGAAAATGTAAACAACAGTAAAAAAACAGAGCTAAAGATTTGTTGTTATGTAATGACATAGTCGTAGGCAAATGTTTTTGCAACCTACATTCAAAATGTAAATCTAAGTACTCTTTAAAAGTAGGCTATGTAAAATCATTTTAATTTATTTATTAAAGTGTAATATTATTTATAAAGTGACTTTAAAACGATCCTTGGGTCGTAAAATGCGTTTTACGATCCATTTAAATATAGTAGGCCTATTATAACAATTGCTAAATATATAAATTCATGATCTTAATGCCATTAATGTTCTCAAAATCATTGTCTGTATATACATTCTATAATTTTTCTATCTAAATCATTTTAATTAATTCATTAAAGTGTAATATTATATATATAGTGACTTAAAAACGATCTATGGGTCATAAAACTTTGATTTAAATAGGCCGATAACAATTGCATAAAAATACACATTCGTGAAAATAGAATGCAGCATGAAGTGGTCCTAATGCCGTTAATGTTCTCAAAATCTTGGTGAATTTATACAGTTTAATATTATTTCCTGCATTATGAACGGTATTCTATCTGTCTCTTATACACATCTAGATGTGTATAAGAGACAGCATATGAACACCATTTCATATTTGGCAGGTATTAGATTACAGTTTATTGTTATGCATTGTTAATGTTTTTAGCAAATAAAAAGTTTGTGTGCATATGAGGTAGCTGCCATTGATTACACTTTATATTGTTGTGTTACAGTATGGGGACACTCCATTTCACAAATTGTTGCAAAGTGACCACGAATACCAAGTTCACCAGGACGGAACCCAAACCTAGTTAGGCCTACATGCTGTAGCTGTGGAGCTGACCTGAGTCCATTGAACCAGGTAAATAATTTGCCTATGTAGCCTTTCTTATTTTATCGTGTATATTTTAATTTAATTTTTAATTTTATTTCGTATTAACCAACAGCGATAACAACCGTTTTCGACTGTCTTAAAATTTGGACCTTTTTCGATTTTATTTTCTGAATTTGTATTCCTATACCTCATGAAAAAGTATGAATGTCATAATGTTTCCAAAAAGTGTTTCTAATCTAACGAGATTAATACTTAATTAGGCCTAACGTAACACTGATGTCAAAATTAAAATAGTTTGAATGTATTTTTCACTAGTTCAATCTCTTTTATTTCAGTGTCTCAGGTTAAATCTACCGATCCATCAATAAGTGCGAAGTCGATGTACAATTATTGTCAGAGCGGAACACGATGTGTATAAAATTGCCGGAACTCAAGATGCTATCAATAGCCGGATTTAATTCTACAAAATAATCGCGCGCGGATATTTATTAGGATATATCACTGGATCGCCGGAATTTAATCAAATTTGCCAATTATGTTTCTTATACAACGAACAAGTAATTCTCGAACGATATTACATACTTAAATATAATTAGGTCTAAGCATTATATATATATTATATTATATAAAACTAGAATCTTTATATTCAAATTATTACGTTTATATAGTTCGGATGTAACATTTCCGAGTACGTAAGAAATAAAAGTAAACTGTATATTTATAATACATCATTGTGTGTACTTCCTTTGTCGTAATTGCATTAATAATATTATATTTTTCATAATTATTAATCAGTAGGCCTATATAATCGAATTAAATATATTATAAACACCTCGATTCAAATATAGCACTATTACAGGCTACTATATCTTATAAACACTCTTTCCAAATATATTCACATGACACCAACATATTACGAAACTTTTCAGAGCAAGGTGCTGTCGAATTTTACAAAACAGGAAATGACGTCGGTTGCTAGGCTACAGCTCATGCATATTCAGTAACACCTGTGCTCATTAGACTAACAATAAAAACTTTTAGCTCAGTTTTGACAAAATCGACCAAAAAGATTTTATTGTTAGTCTAATTAGAACAGGTGGCACTGAATATTCATGATTATGCATGGTGTTGCTTAGCAACTACGTCATTTCCGGTTTTATATTTTTGTTGAGGGCGTCCTCAAAAGAATTGGTAGTTTAATAGATAAAGTAGCACATATTCATGAAGCAATTCTTCACTTTTGGTTTAAGCTTATAAGATTATTATGGATATTTTAGCTATTGAATTTATTACAGTAAACATAGACATTAAATAAGATGAGAAGAAATGCACAATTCCATTTGATATTTATTTTCAAGCATTGAAATCAAGTTGTGATATAATTATATATACATTTTATATTTATATAGTGTAGGCCTATATATTATGTACATCCGGCAAAAATCAATAGATCTGATTTTAATCCTCAAAATTTATATTTTATTTTCTTATATGTCTATATTCTTTACACCAAACAAGTTACTTTCTCTATTAATAAGATAAACATTAGCAGTAATAATAAATATTAATAAACATAAAGCCTACAAGAATTACTACATATTACTAAGATTTATTTTTGAGATTATTGCAGAGGAAACATTTAAAAAATAAAATTTACACTATATTTTAATTAATATTTCATATACAGAATTTTATATCCATAATTTTTTTGGAAAGAAAGCCCAGCTGGAAGCTTGATGAGTGACACAATTTTTGGCTATCTATGAATAGTTGGTAAGTTCTGTTGCCCTTTCACGACTGAGTCCGGATATTCTTTTTCCTGATAGTTGTGGCTACTTTGTCTACAACACTGGAATAGAAAAATATTGAGAAAAGATTTGGAAACAGAGAAAGAATTGTAACGGAGTATCATCAAAACAAAATATATAAATAAAAGCAAGGGCAGTGCCAGTAGGTTTGAAATAGAGGGGGCTCACGGGGAGGGACTTTATCAGATGAAGTGTTCCCACCACCTCAGCCTCACCATGGTTGGGGCTGACGTAAGAAGCTTTTCGATTACGGCACCTCTAGATGGCCAGAAATGGCACTCTCAGATTTTACATTTGAATGTAATTTTCTTTTTTTCTCCAATTTGTTTACCATTTTAAAAGATTTAGGCTGCCACCCCTTTCCCCACCCCCCATCCAAGGGGAGCACCCCAACCTGAACATTATCGTATCCAGTTATCGCAATGGACAATGCTGCTGATACAACATAATAGATAGTACTTCACAATTCTTTATCATATCAGCATTATCATATTAAATATTAATTAATTAGGCCTATAGTATCATCACACCACGGAATGATGTGAGGATTATTAAATACATGGCATTGAGTAGGACTAGTAGATCGCAATAGCGCAAACAAATTATGTTATCATTCCGATTGTCATGGGTAAATAAAATTTATAAAAAGTGTACTATTAAATTTATAAAAAGTGTACTATTAAACTTTAAAAAAGTGTACTATTCGATAGAAATGAATATTATAGATTCATGAATACAGTATATTCAAACAGTAAACATAATAATAAAACTATAATCTTCATACAAACATTTTTCATGATGTAATATTTTTTGATTGATTGATTGAATTTATTCGATGCTTAAGCAAGATAACAAATGGATTGAGATCAAGAAAAGTAAAAAATTACCGTAATGACCATCAGGAACGCCCATTACGCCGGAGTCCAGCACATTTCCAATGAGGTCCAATTTAAATATACACTGTCTGTCTTGAGCTGAAAGATAAACAATTTAATTCCACAAATGAATAATTATATTTAAGTAAGTTACAAAATTACAATTAAATATATGAATGACAAAATTGTTTTCCTGTCAATTAATTAAAAAATGGAGAAAAAAAATGAAAATTTTATTCATATTTAAGTAGTTTCCGGCCATCTAGAGCATGGACAATGGAGGTGACATAATCATAAATCCATATGTGAAAGTCTCCCTGGATCCCCTCTTTTTCGAATTTCTGGATCCGCCACTACAGTAGTATCGACATCATGGAAGTACACATCCATGAAGATATTAATATAAATATTGATAAAGACGGTGTCATTTAGGCCTACCCCGATCACTTTCGCTGTCCTTGAAAAATAATATAGAAAATATTTTTGTCGGGCTATAAAAAATTTCGATTATTCAGGATTAAAAGTTGTGTACCAGTCAATAAAAAAAAAAACCAGATACGAATATACAATGTAAACAAGGAACGGAAGTTAACAAGCCCCAAGCTGTGTTTACTGTAAATAACGTTTTTTCAGGTCTTTGGTGGTTTTAGCGAGTCACTTGGAATGTATGTTGTTAAATAGAATGCAGCATGTCAGTGAATGCTTCTGTCGAGGAAATTGTCAATGTCTTCAATGCGGCTGCCTAACAAACGTAGTCAAAATATAAGCATAAAATATTATGACAGAATTCCCATTTAACTATTGAATCAACGATGCAAAACGTTCAATACTGTACTCACATTTGTTATTAATTGTAAAGTCTCCTTCGTAGTCCATTGAGTAATGTATGTAAAACGCCACCTGGAGTGGAATAAAAAACAATTAATTATTCTTTTTCTAATGCGCCATTCCTTTATGACGATGAGGATGATGAGGGTGATGATGATGATGATTAAAATAATAACGGTAATAATATTAATAATAATAACAACAATAATAATAATAATAATAATAATAATAATAATAATAATAATAATAATAATAATAATAATAATAATAATAATAATAATAATAATGGCGGTGGTGGTTATGATGATATTGAGGATGATGATGATGATGTTGATGGCGATAATGATGATGATGGTGGTGGTGATGATGTGTTGATACTAATTATTATTATGTTGATGATTGTAGGATAAGAATCGACTTTAAAAAAAAAGACTCCGATGGAATCAGTATAGGCTGTTATGTGACACAAATGTAGTAATGGTCAAGCCGGCCCTAATTACTTGCAATCTAAATTGATCACTCCTTTATGTGAGGGACATTCATTTTGTAAAGTATATATGTGCTATTTCCCTGCAGAGGAGCCATTTTTTCAACCATGGTGTTTGTCCACTCCTTGAGGGGACCGGGTAGTGGCTGACTGGTTAGGCCTACCAGGGGGCCGATCATGGGGAGACGGGGGACATGTCCCCCACGTATTTTTAAGGGGGTTTTAGTCCCTCTCACCTTTTGATCACAATGTAATTTCGTAGGTAAAGAAGATGCCTGAAAGTTGTTGAAATGAACTGCATAAAAATAAAATTTTGGAAATATAATTTTCTTTTTATTTCCATTTTTAAATTTGTTTTTGACAAATTTGGTGGGGTCCCGGGGTTCTCCCTCCCTTTAATCTGCCACTGGATATAATATGATGTATGCCATGCAGTTGATTTCAGAAACACATTATGGTGTTACCAGTGGCGGCCCCAGCGGGGGCAGGGGGCTTAAGCCCCCACCGGACAGGTCAAGCCCCCCCGCCAGACATTGCTCGTCGGGCAGTCAGACCATAAAACATATAGAAATAGGCCCACACCAAGCCAACACATGTATGTCACAGTCTGAGAGTGCCATTTTCGGCCATCCAGTTTGATATTCTTTTAAAAAATCTCATTTGGGAAGGGGAAACCCATCTCAACCCCTTCCTCAGCTCGAGCCTACGAGCTCAAGTCCCCCTGTCTGACAACTTAGCCCCCACCCCAAATATACCCTAGAGCCGCCACTGGGTGTTACGTATCAACAAAGTCCTTTTTGGTCAGGGTGCTAGATCTGAAGACCGCTGCATGAGAGCGCATAGGCGTTACGCCACTGCACCTGCTATCTGGCTCTGTGGGTGGCACTCTTTCATTTTCATTGTTACCCCAAAGATATGCGAAAAATGTACATGTCACCGTTCTGCAACTTATGGGTCACAACTCATTGTAGGTATATTTACAATCACATCTTATTACTAAATCTGTCCAATATCTGCCCACAGGATTGTTTGTCATTAAGATTAGATTCTAGGAAATGTACATCAAAATGACACGAAAATGTATCAGTCTTGTCACTTCATTCATTATGTCATCTATATTAACGAACATGCTGTTTGCACTGACACTCGCACACATTACTCCCCAATTAAATTACAGGTACAGTACTTCAAATACAACCATATTATTTCAAAATCTATAGGTCAATTTTAACTTTAATTGGCCGAGCCCTTTAGAACAAATAATAATACTACTTAATATTAACTCATTAATGATAATGATAATATTCATTAATACTAATACTAAGAATTGTTCTTTATATGTTCAACTTGGAAAATGGAAAACTCACCAGAGAGGCTCACACAAATGGCTAGTTGGAACTAGGTCAATGGGGCAAGAAAGCAGGACTCTCAAACTAGACTTGCCACAAGTCCCTTGTTATTGGTAAGCGCTATATTGGCGACACTACTATACTGCAGGTTCATTAATAATTAAGTAGAAAAATAAATTGAATATTTATTTAACCAGAGTATTTGGTAGAGCCCTGTAGTAATGGTACAATTCAGCGAATACAAACTGCTAGCTGTCCTAAACGAATTTTTTCCGCATTAGTGCATTCTGGGCACCGCTACTGCATTATTAGACTGGGTTCCAGTCCCTAATCTTTGTCTTAATCAGTTGAAATGCTTAAGGATAAATAGATTTTGGCACAAATGGCGTTCCATATTACTTATTTGCACGGCGTTCCATAGTATACTTTTTCTGGGATTAGGGACTGGGAAAACAGTGAGGATTTCGACTGCAGGCACCACGATTTCGTGGTGTATGACGTATTTAACAACTTTGATTTCCGATTGGTTAATTACCGCGGCATAAATTAAATATGCTAATTACGCTAATTCTCATCAAAAAAGTTTCTCAACATAAACTGACGCTGGTGGCGCATTCCGAAATGCGCTAATACTACGAAAAATCCATAAATTTGAGACTTGTGGCAAGTCTACTGCATTATGGGCACCACTACTGCAGGTGTTGTTATATTTTATACATTAATCTTTAGATGAGCACCGCTACTGAATTTTGGGCACCGCTACTGCAGGTGTTATATGTTATACATTAATACTTAGATGGGAACCGCTACTGCAATGGGCACCACTACTGCAGGTGTTGTTATATTATATATTAAATCATTAGATGGGCACCACTACTGCATTATGGGCACCGCTTCTGCAGGTGTTGTTATATGTTATACATTAATCCATAGATGGGCACCACTACTGCAGGTGTTGTTATATTTTATATACTGTATTAATCCTTAAATTTATTTATTTATTATTTATTTATTTATTTATTCTTTCTTTATACTGTAGGCACTTTCAGTATTATTTCATTGATTTTCAAAGTGGTACAGTTTAAACATAACAAAAATATATACAATATAAAGAATTGTTTAACAAAAAATATAAATAATATGGGCACCACTTGTTGTTATATATTATACATTAATCCTTCGATGGGCACCGCTACTGCAGGTGTTATTATATTTTATATATTAATCCTTAGATGGGCACTACTGCAGGTGTTATTATTTTTTTGTATATTAATTCTTAGATGGGCACCGCTACTGCATTAATGGTACCACTGCTGCAGGTGTTAGTTATATTTTATACATTAATCTTAGATGGGCACCACTACTGAAGTTTATGGGCACTGCTGCTGCTAGCAGGATCCGGATCCTGCTAACCGTTAGCTGCCGTGTGAGAACATAGCCGAAGTCTATTTTACGAACCAGTCGAATGAAAATAATACTCAACGAAAATTCGTACTCAACGAAATGAACCAGTCGAATAAGCCCAAAGAAAAGAAATTGAGTATGGGACGCCAAATAATTAGGTATGGCGCGCAATAAAGAGTGAGCAACCTAAAATTAGGGCCTGGAACCCAGGCTACTCTCAAACTAACACTCAGCTTATTATTATTAGCTTCACATCCTTTTAAAAAACAGACGCAAAAGTAAATAAATTCTAAGAAACAAGTTGTAGAATTATATAGCTTGTTTTTATTGTTCACATTCACATTAAATGTTTTATGATTACATATGTATTGATATATGTCAAATGCACAACTTTCTAAAAAAAATAATAAACAAGTGATTAAATCCAATACCTCTTTACAATGACAAAGACCAAAAACAAACAGAAAATGACTACAGAACATAAATATAGAAAATTCTTCACAAATAGACATAACATTACGGTATGTAGGCATATTCCTACAGCAATATGTATTTGCAGGTTGTTTATTAACTGTCATACTTTTGTAATAAAAATCAACTAGATAGTTTTCATAATAACCAAAGACACAGGTAACTAATGAAACACACAGTAAATCACCTGAAGGACTTCAATATGTAAATAAAAGTGTGTGGTTTGATAATAATAATAATAATAATAATAATAATAATAATAATAATAATAATAATAATAATAATAATAATAATAATAATAATAATAATAATAATAACGGTGGACTTATAAGGTGCATACTGTCATGACCTTGATAAAGTGTGTTAGTTTGTAAAGTGTTTTCTAAAGCATTTTTAAAGTTTAAATAAAACCAATACCCACACCTTAATGTAAAGTCCCACATAAGGATGAAAAAGTGTGAGTGCAAGTGGGATATCCAAGCATGAACATCCGAGATTGGTCTGAATGTGTTTCAAACCACAAGGTTAAGAGTGTGAATGGGAAATCAACAAACCAAATATGAATGCATCATGTAAACATGTCATGTTGCTCATACTTGCTGAAAATGCCTAATTAAAAATTATTTTTCATTATTTTATTATTACATTACCTTAAGTTAAGTTCAAAACAAGTACACAAGGTTAAAAATAAGCTTTTGTGAAAATAAGTTTGTGAAAATGACAGTACTGTAATTCGAGAGTTGAAACAAAATTTTTACTGACATAGGAGAAGAAAGGATGTTGTACCCTGATAATTTTGCTTACGTAAATCATACTATCGATTACTATCTTCTTACATCAACAGTGTTACATAGACAGCTTTTATAATCAGGTCATTATGGTTAAATAGGTGGCCCAATTAATGTCATCAACAGACAAGCAAAAGTATATTTTAATACATTGTCAAGCTAAGCACACTGACCTTCAGATAAATTGCCTACTAAGAACCAGATATTAGTAAAAACTAATATGTGTAAAATTCTATTATGCCTATAGTCCCAGAATTATAATGACATTTCTTAGTATTTTTTTTCTGGGATGAAAAATACATCTTACTGTACATCACAACTATTCTTGCTATTATTGTATAAAGAAGCAGGATTATATATGTAAACAATTTTAGATACAATTATAGATATGTTTATGAATTTCAGAGTATCATTCGTTCCAATTATTTTTTCACCTTTGACCTTAAGCAACATGTAAATGATCAAGCGTCTGCAGAAAGCATGTTTTGTGAGTGCATGTGCCATGAGTTGCACATGCTTTAACATAACTACTGTATAAATAATCAGAGCATCTTCTTTTACGATTGAGTTACAGCTAATTTCTTAAGGTGATCCATAAATACTTGAAGGCTAACATCATCTGTGAGTACATATGAGCCACCATCCTATATAAAAAAAAATTGAGAGTTTTAATTAAAGATATGAAAACTACTCAACAGTTAATATTGTTATTATCAATATTAAAGATGTATTGTCCCATGGAAAATACCAAAATAAAAAAAAAAAATAATAATTTTTAAAATAAACTTGTAAAATAAACGTTTATTTAACTTAAACATAGAAATTAGTGTATTCAATGTTTGCCCATAATAAAAAAAAAAAAATGATAGAAACAATGGAAGTGATTTAATAATTTTTAATATCATTATCAAGTATAAAAAATAGGGCACACATTTGTTAAATTCAAAAGTTTCAATGCCCAAGTTAACATAGTACTGTAATGGAATTTGTATATTACTGCAAAATAAGCAAGTTAATTTCAAATTATTATTTATGATTTTTTTTTTTTTTGTCATTTTCGAAGGGCTAATACATCTTTAATATTATTCTATGTCACTGTTAATTATAATTTATATCCATAAATGTTAAGATTATTCAGAGTATTACTTTCAACATTGTATTCTTCTTGTTACTGTACTTGTAAAATAACATTAGTTCATAAATCATATTAATTTTTCTATATATAAATTTATTACAGGAATTTTCAATAGTTTGCTTGTATTTTTTAAGTAATACCATGAACTAGAGGGCGTCCTTCAAAAGTCGAGTTTCAAACTCTATTCAAATTCTAATGGAGTGCCCCCTCTTGTGGTAGCACTTTTTTTTAATGTTTCATTGCGTCCATACAAGATCAGCGGTCCAAAAAAATTATAATTTTATTGACATATTTAAATATAGTGTAGATAAAATGTTTCTGCATGTTTTTTAAAATATAAACCTAGATGTTTACACTCGGAATAAAATAATTATTGTAAATTTAGTTTAAAACTCAACAGAAAAAAAAATCACATATACAAAGGGAACAAAACAAGTTAGAAACAAATATCACTGCTGCTCATCACATTTTGACACATGTACTACACGTTTTCACTATTCTCAATGAGGGAGAAAAACCATACATGGTAATGACAGTGATATTCATCAATGAATGGTACTTGTCAGGGTGTTTAATAGCTTAACAAAACTACCTTTTTCCTCCTAAATGACCTACCTGTCCATATCCGTACATGTTGTTGTGTGTTTGCGATGGGTTTACACGGCAGAGCAAGAATCTTGCCTATTCAAAAAAGGAGACAAGAAAAGATGACTTTTAAACAATTTACTTAATAGAACACTTTTATAAAAATATATTAATTTACATTGATTAAACAAACTTCTACTGTGAATGTAATCAAACAAACAAATCTGATATTGAGGCTTTTTCCTGTTTTGCCAAACAGGTTTATTTACTACAAATTTTCTTTAACCAATAACACATTGAAACAAGATCAAATTATTTCATAATTCCCATGATGTACAATGAAAAAAAGCAGGTGACAGGACTTACCTGGCTGCTTCCTTGTGAACATTGGATGTAACGAGGCATTGGGAAGCGGTTCTGAAGAATTTCCTGGGCATCGTCAATAGGAGCTTGTAGGAGTTGCTTGAAGTTTTCATGGCCAGGCTGGTCTTGGTATTTGGCTTTGTACCATGAATCAATGGTCTGTAATTAGAATTGGAAACAAATTCTTATAAAGTATTCTTAAGTTGCATTCGCATTTCCGAAATGCTAAACACCAGCGTCCCCATTCTTTTTCCCCATTCTTACACACTGATTCATTTTTCTGATTGGTTTCATTAGCCTCCAATCAGAATATTTGGTGTGAATGCAACTTTACACCTTTATTTGCACATGTTCAATTGGCCTACTTCCTTTGGAAGTAAATGGTAGAGGCTCACTCCACGAATTCAAGAATTTGATTTCTGTGATAATAGCTATTATGATTAAAATGATTAAAATATTTACTGTACAGTAGCTTGGTACAATGAATTATGAATAATATATAATACATTCACAGAAGCAGATCCAGACATTCAAACCGTTCGCCATGGCGAAGGTCATGGTGAGAGATAAAAATAAATATGATATTGATATTCTGATACTGAACTGAATATATCAATTATTGGATCTGAATTTTTAAAATAATTCTTAAAATAAAAAATATTTGTTTGCTCAGCCTATTTGGAATATGCGTGGGATTTTATTCTCTTAAAAAGTGAATCACATAGCTTTTTCATAGCTTTTTCTTTGTTAAAATTCTGAAATCCTGAGTTAGATGACATTTGTTTGCTAAACAAATGCTAGAGTATATTTTGCCCTATATTTCAACCAGATGCCGGATAGGCTTATATTTATAAAAAAAAACAAATAAAATATACACACTCCAAAAACCATTTTATGTCTGAAAGTGTTATTTCTGCTGAGCGTCCATGGTTATTTTAGACATTAAAATAATATATCATCTTTTAGTAAATAGCTGTGTTCTTAGGAAGCTATATTTTCCGGTGTCACTTTGATATTTTTCCCTGCGCTACCAACATTATGTGCAAGAATGAAAAGCTCCTGACCGGTTATTAAAGTATATATTAAGAATAGTATCCTTAAATTTCAAAACATCTCATGGTTTTAGTCGTGGGTGTTAGCAGACAACAGCTGTAGTATATACTGTTTTTTAGATCAGATATTGTTAACACTGACTTCAACGATATGATATTTTATTAGATTTTCTTTTAAAATCGATATTGAACAATAATCATATTGATATGCTGATACATATTGAAGAGTCCAGATAAAATTTTTTTAATTAATTTTCTTCACTGCATGGTAAGTCATTTGTTGTATTTGTATCTTTTTGTTTATGAAGTCAAGCAGACGTTTGAATGAACACAATTCGTTGATGAAGCACACATATGCTTTACTGATTTAATTTGTTTTCGTTTTGTATAGCTTTTTTAAAGCCTAAAATTTCGAGTACGATGATATTTGCTTACTGTAGAATATTTTGCCCAATTTCCACCCAGGTTACATATATTCATCCAACATTTGTTTTCTATTTGACAGAACAAACACAAATTACGCTCACTCTGCTCAAGAACCCGCCCTCTACTTGTCACTATTGAAGTATTGGGTGAAATTTACATTATATAGTTGTTACATTCAAAACTACTATGAATACAAAATACCTATTTTGATTTCTTCCTAATAAATTGTCTTTTTAGACATTTATTATTAATAATACTAAATAATAATATTATTATTAAATAGTATATACTATACTGCTAGATAGCATTTAATATTATTAAATAGTATATACTATACTGCTAGATAGCATTTAATATTATTATTAAATAGTATATACTATACTGCTAGATAGCATTTAATATTATTATTAAATAGTATATACTATACTGCTAGATAGCATTTAATATTATTATTAAATAGTATATACTATACACTGCTAGATAGCATTTGCTAAAATTAACTACATCTGCTTGAAAGCATGATTCACATGAAGGTATTAAAAGAATTATGGCAGATGCAAAAGTAAAATTATTATGAACTATGAATTTATGAATGTTATATAATAGTCAGATAGAGCTGTGTTAATCTGATAAAACACGGGTAGCACCTTATAAACTAACTTCAATTATTCATTACACAAGCTTTCGTCAACAGCTCCATCAGGTGTTTATGAATGTTGAATTTTGACGAAAACAATATCATAATAAAGACTTACCTCTCCATGGAAAATGAGGATCTGGAAGAATGTATCCATAAGGAGAATCCGGTCTGGCATTATGCTGCTGCTATCAAGGAGCACAGGCTGTGAAGATAATTAAATGAAACATTGTATCACTATTGAGTATTCAGTTACTCATTAAAAGAGTACTTGGCATAGCAGATGCAACTCATATTATGAACCACAAAGGTGGGGTTCGAATCTCAAACTGATATTTGCCTGTGATCTTCAGCTCTGTCCACACTATAAAAAATGTTGTATGTTGGATTGGGGGGGGGGCCCAAGCTTACCAGGGAGGCTAATATTTTTCACAAATAATTACTATCATGGGCACTCAATAGTGGCGTCGGTCCCCTCGATACTGACAGGCCCCCCCTCCTAAAAAAAATGTTTGCGGCTTCGTGCTCGTACTTTGGGGCCCACACCAACCCTTGCCCCTGTTACACTTTCTCCTCTTGATGGCCCTGTGCCATATACAGTAATGATGTGCCTATATATGGTCATGTGATGTCATCATGACCATATTTAGTCATAAAGCTTAGTCCAGAAATACAGTATTAGACATCTATCAAGAAATCATCATCATTGACAGTTTATTATAATGTTTGCTTCTTCATGACGACAAAAAATTGAATAAAGCATATGGCATGTGAATGGCGATGATGATATTTCTTTTCATGATTGTCTCACTACACATTAAAAAAATCAATGCTAATCAAACAATCAACCAAATTCTATATGTAGACAACTGCTTAAATTCAACAAGAATAACACTAAAATGAGTCATTCATATTTTATATAATATATACTAATAGCAATATTACTTTTGAAAGATTGGTGGTAGTTTTTTCTAAGAAATATCACCAAAATCAACTGCTCTACACTGATGAAATAATCTGACTTACTTCTGTGCCATTAAATGAGTAGGCATACAAGATTGGCTGGATCATGACAAGACACTGTGTCAATTCCTCTCGCAGCAATGAATGTCGATAAAATGCGGTCTCATCCGGACTGTTGTTGAAAACTTGAAGAAACTGTGACCTTCTTAAGTGAAACATGAACTGTGGAAATAAAAATACAAGATACAAATAAGTAGAGTTTGGTAGTTACCTATCTGATAAGGAAAATGTTATTTAAATAAATGCCACAGGGTGTTTATTTGAATAAATGCCCCAGGGTGTTTATTGTTGAGAAGGGTTATTGAGGGGGTGTTTATTCGAGGGAGGAATTTATTCAAGAGATATTCATTCAAAAAGTAGCAGTAAGAATGAATTCAGAGGATTTCAAAGTGCCTAAACATGAAGAGGAGAGCAAACTTGAAAGTCAAAAAGAGATAGGTTGCAGGTATCAGCATTATATTATATATAATACTTATACCTGTTAAGTATCATTATTATATTATATATTTTGAAATTCCTGAAACCAAGCATAAGGCCAAGTTTTGAAGCAACCCATGCAATAATGTAATCTATGATGAGTTATGATGTGATGAATGCAAGAACAACTTCATATATCTACGAATCTTCTTAATATTCAATACATGAAAGTTGACTGAGTTTTTAAGTATGTAGTGTAGTTGATTAATATTATAATTAGAATGGAATAGAAATCTTTCTTTATTCTGGATACTCAGTCAGTATTGTTACACTGTTCTTCCCTGAGGTTCAGGGTATTATTTTAAACAACATTATATTACAAAATAAAATCAAAAGAAAAATGCATAAATATATATATATATGTATACATACATAGACACACACACATATATATATATGTGTGTCTATTTTATATATAGATTATATAAATACAAGAAACAGAAGAGAAAAACAAAAGGGTGAATTAAATGAGATTTTTAAAGGATTGTAAGGAAAGTGAATGGATATTGCTACGAAGGTCTGATGATAGATTATTCCATAATTTAACAGAAGGATATTTAAAAGTTCTTTTTTCCAAAATCATTTCGCCATTGTGGTAAGATTAAAGTGTTTTTCAATTTCCTTATTGTATTTATACTATGGTAAGCATCAATTGATTTTTAAAAATTAGTTAAATATTCAGAAACAGTGCCTGATAAGCATTTAAATGTCATTAAAAGAATATTATGTTCCCATAGTCAGTAACATTGATTTTTCAACATGTCATGCACTGACCAAGTTCTCAGTGCCAATTAGGAACATAAGACGATGAGTCAATTTACTTAAAATTTACACATCCACTAATAACAGAAGATATATTACTATAAACAGAATGTAAAAAGGGGTAGTTAGACAAAGAAAAGATTACAACCCTGCATGCATTTACAACCTACCTGTGGATAAAGGGAGAAGTTGTCAGCAAACTGGAATGAGTTGGGATCATCTTTGTGATACTCGCCAAACTTTTGGCAAAGCCGGATCAGATTTCTGTCAAGCCAACGCAATACATCGAGTCCTTCCTCATTCTCTGCCTTGTAAGTTGCCATACGAGCCATCAGCACACAAGCAGCCTCCTGATCAAACCCAGCAGCTATATGCTGTATATTGGTTGCGGCATCAGCCCAACTATAAGTAAGATAAACACCTTTATTGGTTTGCATAAAATAAGATTTAAAGTATAATAGAGGCAGTACAGCTAACAAAGATTTATTAATCAACTATTAATAAATCAGCCTCATGAGGGCAGTATAATAGAGGCAGTAGAGCTAAAAAATCAATTAATCAATCAGCTGAGTATTTCTAGAACTCCTAAGATATTCATTCTCCAAAAAAGATCCTGATTGACAGGAGAGCAAAATGAAATTTCATAATTTATAATTTCATAATCTTTTTCTGTCATGGATTGCCACTGCTGGAATAAAGTGTTTGCATGCCGCTTCTATGTCTCATTCACTCACTCTCTGGAAGATATCTCAGAAGATATTTTTGCCACTGTGGGTTCTCATAACCACTTATGTGGTATACCGTACATATAAACTACTTGTTTATTCAACATACAACCTTCAAACAATAACTTAAATAATGAAGTATTTAAATTAATTAACAAATTAGAGTACATACTTTCTTGCTAGTGTTGTTACACGTACACGTCGTTGTCCGCTTGAATGCTGGTATTGCGTTACAAATTGTATACATCCACGTCCACCTTGCGGTATAGGAGCTGAGTGCTAAAAAGAGCATAAAAACAACATTGAGGGTTCATACCATTTAAAAGATTGTTTCTCAAAAAAAGAAAATCCCTCCAATAACTGCTGCACAAATACGATTTTCTCTCTCAGGGATGGAGTTATAGTGGGCAGGGCCACCTAGCCTTGAAGTTTTCCACCCAATCTAAAGCTAATTTAATGTCCTTCCACCCACCATTATTAACCCACTTCCCATCCTTAAAATCCACTTTAATTATTTAGAGTTTACCAATATTCACATTTACTTAAAAAATGTCTACCATCCACCCTTAGTTTTCTTACAACCAAAGATAATAGAAATACAAGATAGAGTTCTCCATACAAAAAAGTGTTCCACCTTGTTCCACCGAAATGCATGGTGGGAATACGAAAAATGGGATACAGCTGGATCTAAAAAAACTTGTGCCAAACTTTCGTTACCAAGTCGTCGTGTATTTTATTATTAATTCTCAACAAAGATACTAGATATAAAAACCAACTGGAATAGACACCCAGACAGTGACATCGGTGAATACATAACCTCCTTGGTGGCGGTAGAAATCATTGCTATTATCCAAATAATACGCAAAACAATTAAAGCATAATCATGAATCAGTAAAGAATAAAACAATAATACAGCGCAGAATTGCATGGCCAGACGCACTCTTAGTGAAAAAGTTTTCCTCCACTAGTGGAAAAGGAAGGGCGCCTTTTGCGTCCGGATATACTTAGCAACAGAAGGGCGCCCTGTACGTTGGGCACGAAGTATAGGAAACTTGCATGGTTAAAAAGAAGGGCGCCGCCTACGTTGGGCACGACTTCCGCCTCATTTATACAATGCGAGAACTCTATCTTATATTTCTAGTATCTTTGTTACAATTACAACCCTGTTTAATTTGAATACAGTACAATACAATATATCTTTATTCATCCTGCATGGGGAAATTCAATAAAAGGATCTGGATTACAATGCTTAAAAAGATTTAAAAACATTAAAAAAACATTACGTCATAAATGGGTCTGATTTCTTACAGATCAATAATGCTAACATAACCTAGCATCAAGTAAAATTGGCATATGTACAGAACATGCACTGGCATGTACAAAACATGCACTACCATTTGAACAAGCTCCAATATTTTGTAATACATAAGCACCTCATCCTGAAGTTGCCAACAATTTTATAACTGAAAAAAATTATTTGATTACAACTATCTTTATTGTTGGAACAATTTTGTTGTAAAAACAATTTTATAAGCACCATGGCACTTATTAAATCATTTACAATAATTACTTTTTTTTGCATAGTGCTTTCAACTGATTGTCTTTATAGCACTTCATGTTAAAATAGAAACAGGAACAATCATCTTGTACATATTGTTTTCCTTTTATGCTACCATTTAATGCAATGAGCATGTGGCTCCTACTTTTTCAAAAATAATAATTGCAATCAGTTGCAAATCCAGGAATTCAAATAGAGGGTGACCGGGTAAAGACTTTCTCAAATAGAGTCTACAGTAGAACATCTAAGCCCTACTAATTGCAATCAGTTGCAAATCCAGGAATTCAAATAGAGGGTGACCGGGTAAAGACTTTCTCAAATGGAGTCTACAGTAGAACATCTAAGCCCTACCATCGTTAAGCTGAGGTAAAAAAACTTTATAATTACAGCACCTCTAGGTGGTCGGAAATGGCACTCTCAGACCTAAAATAGAAAAATATTTTAATATTTTCCTATTTCCTCCTTTTTTTCCCCCCTAATTTTGAAAAATTTAGGAGGGAGGGGGGAGGGTGAGCCGGCTCCCTCACCCGCCACTGACAAAGATGATAACATAATGGTGGTAGTAGTGGTAAGTAGTGGTGCTGCGTAGTGGTAATGTTGATGATATTATGGAAGCTAAAACCAGCGGTGTAAAAACATACACAAACGCATGCGCTTATAGGACGACATGTTTATGAGAGGCGCACATATTCTTGGCCCTGTTCTGATTGGTCAGTTGTTAAGCTTGATTGACACTCCAGAAAATTCTAATCCATAGCCTATGACAGCAAACCTTTTACTAACTAAAACAATTCCATTCCGTAAGCATTGTTATAAAGTACAACTGCGCCCTATGGAAGAACACAGGTTACCCAGTATAAAGAAGATAAATTTAATATAATTTAAAATGTACTGCACAGCATAATTATTAGTAATATTACTTGCTAATATTTAAAAAAATGAAAAATGATATTGAACATTAAAGAGTCATTAGTGTTCAGTTAGCAATATTTTAAAAAATAAAAAAAAAAATATTAAAGATTTTGTACATAATTAAAGACATTGTAAAATGCACTTAAATTAATTGAATAAAAACCATTTGATAATGTTTAAATAAGTAGCCTCTGGCTCAAATATCAAATAATGATATTGAACATTAAAGAGTCATTAGTGTTCAGTTAGCAAGCTTTAAAAAGATCAGGAAAGTAGATTGACCTCAATCATTCTAATCTTTTTCCAATAGAAATCACAAAAGAAAGAGTTGCATATTGGATTTCTGAAGGTCATAATAACAAGTCTCAACACTACATTGAACTAATATTTTAAAACTTTTGATGCATTTGAAATACTGATGAAGCCTAAAGACACATTGTGTTTTTATTTATTTTCACGCCGCATCTGAATATAAATATGAATATGAATTGTAGAAATGTTATTTTAAAAAGTTTGCATCTACAGGTATGTTTACATAAGAAATTGAGGAAAAGAAAACAGGAAATCAAATTTTTAACATACTTGCTCCTTAGGCCTATGAATATCATACCTATTTCCTAGTCATTCTACAGTATACACACCAATATCTGGCTACATCACCTAATACTCCGGAAAGGAGCGGCAATATTATTGCTGTTAAGAAGCAACAAAAGGAAGGATGCGATTTTTTTTATTAGGCCCACGTCTGCTCTTCTACAATACTTTTGCTCTCAGTGCCCTTTATAGTGATTATCTTTTACGATTATCACTCATACTTTTTATTTAAAATTCTATGTTATGGTTGTCAACAGGCCTATTTTATAAAATATACCCCATTAAATTAATGTTATTTAAACTTGTTTAATAATGGAGGAATAAATTGAGTATATACTTACAGCATTCATCCATGGTTTATCAGTATTAACATTACTGTATATGTTACCTTACCATTATATAAATTATGTGGATTATATATATATTTTTATATTACTAACTTAATTTCTTATTGTTTTAACATTCTCTTGACAATTATGGTGACAGAGACAACTATGGTGTATACAGAATACTTAAAATTTACAGAATTTTAATGTTTACAGTGCCCTAATATTGTTGTGTAAACTCACCAAAAACGTTATAACGATTTGCTTCATGACTCAGATATTATCTTTGGCATATGAGCTCAACTCAAAAGAATATTTTAGCCCTTTAAACAAATTAATTAAGATCTACAGTATGGCATTATTTTAACAAGCATATTCCTTTACTTGATGAAAATGCCAAAAATCCTATAATTACAAGATTGTATATTATTTTAGATAAAAGTCCTGTCCAGACTATCAATTTTATTTTGAAATGCCTAAATATGGTCATGATTACATCACATCTTGACCATGTATAGGCACCTCATGACCATATATAGGCACATCATGACTATATATGGGCATACAAAAGTTTTTTGTCTAAGAAAATTTGACAGTCTGGACAGAGCATAAGAACTAATATCATTCAAAATTCAGAGCCAACAAAAAGATGACAAAAAACCAATTTTTGTAATTTACAGAATCCCCATTTTTTTTCTTTAAAAAAATTTTTTAAAAAATCATGGTGGATAAAAATTTTCCATATATTATCTGAAGAGGAAACTGATTTACTCATTAATAAAATTGATATGTCTGACTGACCTCCAATCACCTCGCATACTTATTAATTTGCTATTAACAGACTAAAGTTATCCAATACAGCAAACAATAGTTGCCATCATATGCGCATCCCAATCAACAACCGGTATGCAAATAATATTAAAATTGATCAAGCACAGGAATCATCCAATGAACATCAACTCAAGTATCTCATTCCACAGTATAAATATAGTTAGTAAATGAATGCATAGGCCATTGACACAACAGACACACACTCTGTGTGAATATTATTACGGTCATCAATTATCTAGGAGAAACCTGGAATAAAAAGTAAGTAAATTATTTGGACTACCAACATTTAGCAAGTTAAACGTCCTAACTAAACAAAATTCACTCATACAGACAATTTGGTATCTTGGTAGGAATTATATTTTGGGAAGCATTGGAAGTGTCTCCTAAAATTGTTGTGCCATTTGAAGTAGGAATTTAGTGTCATTATTGGGTTTATGGAGTTGTGTTTTAGTCCTAACAGCAATTACTGTTAATGCCTTGCAATATTTTTAAAATAATTTTTTAAAAAGATTTTTAAAAATGCTATTTGCTCACTTAGGGAAGTTTTAAGCAGAAAAAGTTTTAAAATGTTCCATTCCTTAACATATATTTTTATATTTATAATTCTTCATTTTTACATATTTCCAAATAACATTATTTATTTCCTAATTATATATAAAATGATTATACATATATTCTTAATGGTTACGGTATACCATTTTCAACCATGGAGAATCGGTAGACAGTGATTTGGCTTTTGGTAATACAGTGGGGTTGTTAAGATCGCCCCTCTTTGTATGTGTTGGCTTGTGTTTGGCACTAGTATTTTCTTTTTTCCTTGACGACAAAATATATAAAAAAAATAAAAAATGGAAAGCTAAGCAGATAAGAAAATTTTACATATAAATCCTTCTCTGTTGCATTCAGCATGTAACAAGTTCATAAACGCAGAACTTCAAAGTTTAAGATTTTGGGCATTTCTCAGGCAGAAATCATCAATCATAAAAAATTGTTGTTTGAACATTAAATATGGGGAAAATAACAATGTGGCATGATGAATAGATATATAAAAGTTATAATTTTAGTGCAATAAAATAGATTTCAAACATTCCAGCATGTTTTGGCCATTATCTCCTTAACAAGATTTGCGAGGAGTGACTGGTTTGGCTTGTCCTTGCCACATATTTCAATTATTAATAATCATATATTATCAGCATTTGACCAATTTTTGTTAATTAATTAGTATGGGATAAACGATTCAGATTTGTAAGTTAATGTTTCTATTATTTTTCATTATGTATTTTTTTTAGTTAAGCTGAACAACATATTAACATTTATATTTTAATTATTAATACCAATTTTTGTTGTAAATGTAGCAATAAAAATAATGATGCTACCATTTAACAATTAATTAAATAATTACTATGACAACTAATTATGTAATTTTAGATATTAATTTTCGGTTCAAATTTTAAAAAATTATACACCAGTCAATGCTAAATTGCATAATATTTATGCACTGTAAGCTTACTACCAATCTTAAAGGGGAAATGGTTGAAAAACAAAATACTAGAAAAATGTCACACTTTTTTTGTGTGTGTAAATTCAGCACTTTTAAATTTAAAAAGTATATATGTTTAAAAATAATTTGAAATTTAATATTTATCGAAATTTTATACTAATATATTGTTATACATTTTCCCAATTTCTAATTTAGGTCAAACAAAGATGGCAGTTGTTATCTGATGAAATTAATTGAAATGACAACAAATTTTGCTGACATGACCCTGAGCAAAGAGTGGGAACAAAACCACCTTGATATGCAAGTAGACAATAATGACACACAACAAACAACATTTGATGAAACATTCCTGATTGCTTATTTTACGTTCTTATTATTCATTGTCACTCTGGCATTGTCTGGCAATCTCATGTTCATTCTCGTTACGGTATTTTCACCACAATTACACAACGTCACCTCGTTCATTGTGGCGCATCTTGCGTCTGTGGATTTGATCTTGTTGTTTGTTATTACCTGCGACACTATTAACTGGATCTTAAACTCACTCGATAAAGTTTTGTTAATATGGTGCAACGTAATTGGAACTATGCTTACTCTGTGTTATTCATTAAAGACATGGAACCTAATGATTCTATGCATTGATCAGCATATATGGATAAATAAGCCACTCAAGTACCATCAAATGGTGACAAAACAAAGGATTATTAAAATCATATCAACTTTATGGATACTTAATATATTGATTGTAAGTTTACCATTGTTAACTGGAAATAATTACACGTTTCATAAGGATACATTATCTTGCTTGCCTCATCCAAAAAAAGGAATTCAAACAATAAATTTTATATACAGTATTTTTATCCCAATTGTCATTTCAAGCGGATTTTACATACAGGTTGTGAAGTCCACCTGGAAGCAGGCAAATAGACGCGTGATAATATGTAATAAAATAAACTGTAGTTATGTACGTCGAACAAAAACTGATAAGGATATCATCAAATGCTTAGTACTTACTGGGGGTAAGTTAAAGGTTTTTTTATTTACTTTTATTTTATCAACATTTTAGAGATAATAAAAACAATTATATTTAACAACTAACAAATTTCGAAACACAATATTATTTTCTTAAGTATTTGATCCATTATATAGAAGTATATCCAGTGACAAGCAAACAAAAAAGCCACACTTCACACTGTCTTCAAAATTGGATTACACTATATAAAAAAAACCCAAACATTAAATCATATTACTGTTGCACAACAATTTTTATATTATTATTACTATTATCAGATATTATTCTCCTGAAGACAACTGAGGCGACTCAATCGAAAGGTCAAGACATTCTCAACCAACAACAGTTCTTTTCAGAACTATCTACTTGGTGTACCGCAAGCATTAATATATATTACTATTATCATAATAATTTTCTGTGTTTTTTTTAATTACAGGAGTATATATTCTGTGCTGGATTCCAGGACTTTTCACATCTATGTTGGCATTGATTAGTGTTCACATATCACCGTATATCCGTCCTGTTTCACAAACCATCATGTGTTTAAGTATGGCGATTGTACCTATAGTGCAATATATATACAATACAAAATTCCAAAAAGCTGCTAAACAATTATGGCATCGTTTATTTGCAATGCACTCGTGCCGGCCAAGAAACAGAATAAGAGATCTTAAATTAGAGGAGCAAAGACAATACACTGAAAATGAAGTTTGCAAGACTCGTTGTGAGCAAGTCGCGAGTAAGCCGTCTAGTACACAGCAGCTAGTAGGAGATACAACACTGAACATATAGAATATATAATTAATTAATTATGCATTAATTTATTATTTTTTTTAAATTTCACATCAGCGATACATACATCAATTAAAAAATGTAAAGGAGCTTCATAGAATATTGCTCAATGAGGATCATGGACTGGTGTCTCAGGCTTTACACGACATTGTTTTAGAAAAATGGATATTCAATAAGTTTCATATTATTGAAAGAGAAAAAGAGAAAAAGAGGGCCAAGAAGGCTTGCATATTGAGAATATTCCACATTTGTTCTACCTTTACTCTTAAAATTGCTAAGCTTTTAAATAAAGTGTATCAATATAATATATTGCAAGTCAAAAATTAAGTTAAAGATGTATTGTCCCATGCTAAATACCAAAAAAATCATAAAAATATTTTTTGAAATTTATAACTTGCCCATTTTGAAATAACATAAAAGTTATCAACTTGAACATAGAAATTAGTGTATTTAAAAAATGTCTACTCATCAGTTAACAGCGAAAAATGATAAAAACACTTCCAGTCACTGGAAGTGTTTTATTATTTTTATTATAATTTTTTGGTTTAAAAATCAGGGTACACATTTTTTAAATTCAAACATTTTTATGCACAATTTAATAATTTGTATGCTATTGCAATATGAGCAAGTTTATTTCAAAATTATTTTTTATGATTTTTTGACATTAGCAAGGGACAATACATCTTTAAAATTGTCTTCCTCTGGTATAATTTTCAATATCTTATGTCGAAGTAAGTCAGTAGTATTTATTGTCAATGAGTGTCCTGCTTTGTTGTTCTTGTTGCCTTATGATAAATCATCTAGGTCTGTCTCAATATACTAATTATGAATAAACTATATAAAATTTCTAATCAATCATCTTATATTTATGATTTAATATCCATATGGCCTTCAACTACATAATACCAATCATAGAAAATTGCATACAGTAATGCATTAATTACGATATGCAATATGTTATTACTAATGTTCGAAAAAGAAAACAAAACATCATCGAAAGAATATTATTAAAATTTTGTGTGCTTTTATTGTTTGCTTTTAATTGTTGCTTGACTGTTCTTTGTATTTTTATTGTTCTTCTTACACCTATGTAAACATCAATGTAATTCAGTTTTAACTGCAAAGTTGAAAAATAAAATACTTGAAATGAATATTGACTTTTTCAAGTTTGATTTATCTTTTGAAAAGGCGAAATCTCAATTATGTGTGGATGTCATTAACAATAGGTCTTGATATTCTAAAGAGCCATTGCTTTATGTCTTTGATGACAGGTATAATGTCATTGCACGGCCAAGTATTATTGTATGACCAAGGCTCACCATATTACTAGGCTAAATTAATTAATTATTATTATTATTATTATTATTATTATTATTATTATTATTAATTTATTTATTTATTAATTTATTAATTTATTAATTTATTAATTAATTAATTTATTTATTTATTTATTTATTTATTTTTCTTTTTAAAAAGAAGAAAATCTAACACATTTACCGAGAAGCCAACTTCACAGTTACAGTATGCTAAGTTTTTGATCAACTTTGTTACATTTTAAAAGCCAATACGATAGGTGAATGGTTGTCAAGAATATTAATGCTGAAATTCAAAGACTGTTATATTTAGCTTCTATTATGTGTTCAGATAAAATAGATTTTTTTCAATGTTTTAAAATCCATAAAAAAAAACCAATTGGTATTGAAACTGAAGTATATTGCTGCTTCTGCTTATTTCATCTGCATGTGGACCCTACATAACATGTGCTTTGATTTACAACATACAGGTAACTACTAATTACTGGTTAGCCTGATAGACCGACAGATGGATAGATGGACTGATCGACCGACAATGCTAAGATAGATGTGAATAGTTGATGCAGAAATTAAGTTGGTGATGTAATATACTGTACTGTACGATTGAATTTTTTTAGGAATCGTGGAGCGCTTATTCAAAATTGAGGGGGCGCTTATTCAAACGGGGGGGCTTAACAATTTTCATGTTAGGAGGGGCGTTTATTCAAGAGGGGCGCTTATTCAAACATGGCGCTTATTCAAACAGGGCGCTTATTCGCACGAGTACAGTAATCACCCTTAATAAATAAGGGCACAAAATAGTCTCCATGCTTTGATTATGGTGTAACCAAGAACCAAATATTTAGACTACATGGAATATACAAGTATCCTTTACCGGACATAGTCTTGAATAAAAGATTTTAAAGAAATGCCTATTTGAATCAAGCCTTCATTGTACAATACGTTTATCTATATTTAAACTATTGGTTATTACTTACAAAAAAAAACTCACACAAGATAAAATATTATGTGGGATACGTGCTAAATGTTACTGACTTTTGAAGTATTCTTCAGAAATACCATCACCTTCAAACAAGTGAATACTGTACACGACATTATAGACATGCATGATGTCACGTTCAATAAACAATGAATAGCTTATAGTATTTAAAAGGATCAATTCCAAAGACACTTGGCTTTCATTTGATAAATTGATCACCAGCAAATTTAAAATACATAACAGTATTTTTAAAAATACATTTGTTGACAAGAAAACTGCTTTCTAACCTATATATAAAAATAAGAAAAAGTATCAAAAATTAGACCTACCTGATTTACAACTTCAAAGAAGACTGCTGCGGTAGAGTTTGGATAAAGACCACAGAATTTCCACTGACAAGTCCCGCCCATTCCAATTTCAGTATCAGAGACACACGGACCTTTTAAATTGCTGGACACACACGGCCCAATTGCACCAGACACTTTTAACTCCCTGGATGTCTAAAATTTATAGAAGGATATCAGAGATACTCTGTCAAAATAGACCAATTCATATATTTAAGAAACAATTGATTAATTCATATTTCAACAAATATTGGGTTTCAGTGTTTTTAAGTCTAGCCTAATTATATATAGTCTAAATAGCAAGTGTGAGTATAAGTGTTTTTGAGGCATACTGTTGTTTTTAAAAACTGATAGAAAAAAAAACCAAATTTATTATTGTTATTTCTCAAGAAAGATTTTAATCCTTGTAAAAAATATAACAAAGCTTATAAATCCATATATCTAAACATTCTAATACCTCATTTTTCAGACTAATTCTGTTATGACAGTGATAGATAAGACAATTTTATGGTAGCCTGAATAGAGTAGTATGGCAGAGGTATGCTTTTTTGGATCTGAAAAAAATCTGAGAACTGGTAACAGACTATGCTCAGGGATGTAGTTTTGGTGGGTGGGACTATCTAACCTCGGAAGTTTTCCGCCCAGTCTAAAGATAATTTCGTGGCCTTCCACCTACCTTTAGTAACTCCCTTAGCCATCCTTAAATTTCACTCTTATTATTTAGAGTTTAAAAATGTTATCACCCACCCATTTTTAAAATGTCTACAACCTATCCTTAAGCTCTATCCACACTATCAAATTTACTTTGACAAAAAAATGTGACACGCCCATATATAGTAATGCTATGCCTATATATGGTCATGGTGTGATGTCATAATGCCCATATATGGGCATATCACACTTTTTTGTCACACAAAATTTGATAGTGTAGACAGAGCTTTAGTTTTCTGCAGCTACAACCCTGCATGCTCCATGAGCAATTTGGCCAAGGATCGGTGGGTGGTAGGATTGGATCAGCACTGATGTAATTGTCATATTTTTAATAATTCAAGTATCAGTCATAGAATTTATAGATCAGGGGTGGGCATAAAAGGGGTTATTTGATTTTACATTGAGGGCAGCACCCAAACTTCAATGTTTCCATTATGCTTCCAAAAATATTTAGCTTTAGCATCAGTTTTAATATTATTTTTTACAAACTACTGATGACGGGCAGTAAAAAAAATAAGGGGTTTTCTAGCCAAAGACTGTTGGCGGGCCACACACATAGGGATTCTTAATTTATTTTTGCGGGGTTAGAGAGCCAAAGTGAATATTTGATTTTACATTGAGGGCAGCACCCAAACT